CTGGGCTCTACTTTGTATGGGGAACCCCCCAGAAACAAAATAAAATTTCTATCTATCTGTCCTCGTCCATCCTCATAACCATTTGAGCGTTTTCGTTTCCACGGTTTCCAGCATTGGTGGCACCTTAAAATTTTCTCTAATCCGTTCGTTTCGGATGAAATTTCTTCTAGTTTGGCCAGCTACTCTTCTAAGATCTTTCATTTCGGCAGCGGTAAGTCTACTCTTGTGCCTATCTAGAAGAACCTAGCTCTCACTGCCGTACAGTAGGGTTGGAAGGTAGAGTATGTTGTGTTTATGAGTCTTAATTATATTTTTCTCCCATCGTTTCCGACGACCGTGTTGCAGATCTGGTAATAGATGCCATTCGCTTTTTGGATCCTGTTGGAAATCTCTTGGTCTCTTTTTCCATTTCTTCCAACAACTGTTCCAACCTATATATATTCCTCTACCAATTCTTACCCCTACAGTTTATATTATATTGAATAGGAAGCGAAAACTAAAAAATATTCGATTTAATTATTTAAACATTGATCCTTAATTAACTAGACAAAATTTATTTCAAACGAAAGTAAAGATTGTCATTATTAAAACCATTGAAAAAGGATTACTGAGCGGAAGAACTCAGCTAAAATTCGTTTAAAAAAATAAATAAATTATTAGAGATTTATTTTATCATCCTCAAACTGTACTACATTTTTAGAAAAACTTTCTCGTTTAATATACTTAAAGTCCATAAAAATTAAGTTGGGATTTATTAGGAAATTTACCTCATGATGTGTAAAGAAATGATGTGATTTCTTGTCCAGTCACCTAAAAGTACCCGTATTCTCTGTAAAAAAATACTACAATGAACTGTTGCAAAGCTTTTATAATGCCCAGTGGAGGCTGAGCAAAGGCACTATAACCACAGACGTGCCGTTACCACAGGCGGATCTATGGGGGGGGGGGCTTTCGGGCTGAAGCCTCCCCCAAAATGGAAAAATATAACCATGTTTTATGTGAAAAAAATTTTAAAAATACCTCTTAAAGTATTATTGTTCGTGTAATTACATTTAAAAGTACTTAAGGAATAACTTAAACACCATTTCATATAGGTAGTTAGTTTATTTCTGTTTTTCCAAAGTAATTATCGTTATTTTTATGAAAATAAAAAGGTTTCGGGCTGAAGCCCCCCCCCAAAATAAATCCTGGATCCGCTAGTGGCCGTTACTAACCGTTGCTGACTGTTCAACAAGAACTTAAGAGACATTCACATTTGAAGTCGAACTAAACGTTGAAGATCATAAGGTAAAACAAAATTTGATATGGTCCAGTAATAGGCACAACGCTCGAATCATATTAGGCATAGGTTTTATTTTTTCTGATAAAATTGTTATTAACATCGCCAAAATGTCTTAGCACTTTTGTGATCAGCATCTCAACAAAATCTCTCTTTACAATAATGACCCTTTGTTAGCCAATATGTCTATCACAGATTTTCAAATCCGTTCCAATGAAGGGATAATCTTCACAGAAATCCAAAGAAACCCTCTCTCATTTATTTTCTTGAGAATATTAAAGGCACAATACATTAGGACAAAGACAATTACATTTAGTAAAGCCAATTACAATCAACAAGTAACATCAGTAATTGCCACGTAGGTCTCACATTTGAAAGACCATCGAACGTAGAATGTTTATGTAGTTGTAAACATTAGTGGAATATACTAATGTACTTAAGATGGTGTTACCACACTCCTCTTGTGACGTCTGACGCCTTCAGTAATCAGTGCTGCAGCCAGCTTTTCTGCTTCTTGTCTCTTTGGAAATCGATCATCCAGGCTCGATACAAAATAAAGATTCAGTTGTTTTAAAAAACAGATAATATTAAAAAAGACAGTTTAGAGTGATCGGAAACATTTCAGTTTACTTGCTAACGTGAAAAATGTGCAATTTTTACCTAGCGGTGTAACAATTTTCTGTGCCCCCGCTGTATTATATTATCTGTGCTGGAGTTGCAACTCTTTTAAGTTTTTGTTAATTGGCAAGCATAATTTTATTTTTGTATTTTTCATTTATAAAACTTTTTATAGACATGTGGAGCAACCAGGGCAGTTATGACACCCTCTCTTCAGAAAAAAATAAATCTTACAAAATTATTTTGGCTCGTAAAGTGTTTAAAAAAAAGAGATTTTAGAACGAAATGATTTTTTTCGCAATAGGTAATTGTTTGGTTTTAACATCAAACAGCCATACGATGTTATATTGTTCAAATTTTTTCTTAAAAACTGTACAAGTGAAAGTAGAACAACTTTGACATTTTCTAAAGATCTTAAATCTTTGTCGAGATTCCTAATGTTGAATTATTGAAATGCCGGATTATTGGAGGCAAATTAAATAAAAAGATAATATAATGGCATCATATACCTAATTAAATCAATATAAGCCAAATTATAATATGAATAAAATAATTTACACAATAAATGAATGTGAAAAGTTCAGAAGAATAAACTACGCCAAATTCAAATTAGAAATGTACTGCTAAATGTATTCCCAGAAGTTTTAATACTTTTTTACCATTAACTTTAGCCATAACCGATTGAAACGTGCCGGAAATCAAGAGTGTACGCAGCTTTCATATTAGGGGTAACAATACTTTTTTTCGGAAAAGTTTATTCCTATTACAATTCATAATTATTTATATATGGAATACAATATATAAATAAAACAATCTTTAAAATTTAATTTTCAGCAAACCTTTTGTATTATGTTATGTTTTATTTGCTTTCAAATTATTTAAGGGGGGCGACACCCCTCTGCCCTATTCTGCGTACGCCAATGCTGGGAAGTCGTAATTATTTTGTTTTAAATTATTTTACCTTTTAAATAAGGATTTCATCTGGAATAATTGCAAGAGCGTTGTCAAAAGGGAGTACATTCTTCAGAATAAGGAGGAAATTAATTTGAGAATGGGGAAATTAGTTTTTATTTCCTTATTAGTTTCTTTCAGATTGTTTATATACTATTAACCAACCTGCCACTTATGATAATTTTTCATAGTTTTTTTTATTTTTATTTGTTGCTACTTTATTTTAAATTTGTTCTGTGTCCCATAGCCAAAGTATTAGTTTTATTTATTATATACACACAATAAAGATACCGCATACCGATATTTCAAACAAGCGGCGCCCTTGGAAACCCCCAGTTACTTGGCAATGGGAAATATAACAGCAAAATTCATTTAAAAAATTTAGCGATTAAGCACTCAGCACTAGCGGATCCAGGATTTAATTTTTTTTTGGGAGGGAGGGTGCTTCAGCTCGATTTTTTTTTTCATATACATATAATGCTAATTAATTTTTTTTTTTAAATAACTACTTATATGAAATGCCGTTTAAGTGGTTCTTGAAGTCCTATTAAATGTAATTAAACGAACAAGAATACTTTAAGAAGTAGTTTTTAATATTTTTTTCTGTAAAACATGATTATATATTACCATTTTTGGGGGAGGGGCTTCAGCCAGAAAGCCCCACTCCTCCCCCCCCCCCGTAGATCCGCCGGTGGCACTTAGTGCTACATTTCTCCAATAATATGATGATGAAGAACAACCATTCGAATATGCTAGTTGCTTGCTCAATGCTAAAAGAATTATAGCGCTACTATACGCGAAGCTCTATTATTCGACTAGGACACAGGCGAATCTACGGGGAGGAGGGGTGAAGCCCTTCTCGGACTGAAGCCCCACATCTCCGAAAATGGTAAAATATAACCACGTCCTATGAAATAAATATTAAAAACCTATCTCTAAAAGTATTATTGTTCGTGTAATTACATTTGGGAGCACTTCAAGAATCACTTAAACACCTTTTCATATATATAATTAGTTAGTTTCTTTCTTTTTCTCCCAAAGTAGTAATCATTATTTACAAAAAAAACAAAAACCTTTCGGGCTTTCTTCTAAGAACAATCATAGCTCGAAACAGCTAGAACACCCACCGAAAGAGACGAAAAGCTACTGAATGTATTCCTGGACAGTACATAGTGGTAAACACTCACCACACTTTACTAATGCAAAGAAGTGACCTGGAAGTTGTTATCACGTCGGGGTGGTCCCTATGTCATAAATAGAAGATTGGGAAGCACTAGCGGATCCAGGATTTAATTTTGGGGGGGGCTTCAGCCCGAAAGCTTTTTTTTTCATAAAAGTAACGATAATTACTTTGGAAAATACGAAAGAAACTAAGTACCTATACGAACTGGTGTTTAAGTGATTCCTAAAGCCCTTTTAAATGTAATTACACGAATAATTATACTTTAAGAGATAATTTTTTAGTATTTTTTCCGATAAAACATGGTTATATTTTACCATTTTGGGAGGGGGGCTTCAGCCCGAAAGCCTCCCCCGTAGATCCGCCCGTGTTGGGAAGTACCACATACGAAATAGCGGACCCACGAATAAACGGCCTAGTCTAAGATCGTTAGCACACGTTTTAACTCACCACGTTCAATGAAAGAGATGCTAAAATATACAGCCATAAAACCCTAAAAGAACACGAGGTCGTCCCCGAAACCAAAAACTAACATCCATAAACTCTTTCTTGAATGGTCCCTCTAGTAGACCGAAGGCGGACATTGCCAGCAGAGTTGGAGTATAAGAATGAAACAGCTGTTTTAATTATTAGAGATATGACAGATAACAATAATATAAAATTGTTACTTTTGGTTTCTCTTTTTACATTATTAAAAAAATACTTCTCCTAGAACCCAACATGTTACACCTTAGATTTAACAGTATAAAACAAAATGAGTTAAACAACCTTTTGTATGGGTTATCCCTTTTTTTGGTGTCAATTAACAGTAAAATATTCAACGAAAATAAATCTTCAAGTTATGTCGAGATCTTACAGAACTTGTGGTACTAAGAAACTATCTTCTATCACCCATACCTACTGGCAACCCTGCCGCTATGATACAACTGTTCTTATCCTAATCGTTCATTTGTAAGTGGTCCGTCGTCGAAAATGGCAGCTCTGTTGGTTAATAACTTTGCTAGGTCATCTCTGCCGCAAGCAATAAATGGTCAGTAAAGTAAAACCAAATTTGTTTATGAAGTGGTTAAATATTACCAGCTTTTGCTTTAAAAAATTCAAACCTAGTGAAGTTGTTTAATTAAATCAATTATTTTTTTCTTTTCGAGACATATTTTCTGTGTTTTTTTTTTCTAATATTCGGAGTGTAGTTTCTAGCAGTTCTCTGTAATTTATTGGTGAAGTTACAGCTTAGGTTTGGTGATGTTTGCATAATTTGTATATTTTAACTCTTATAATGTCCTATCACTTGTACTAATTCCTGGACAGGTATATTCCTGGGAACGTTTTATTATTTAGAATTGCAAACATATATATATATATATATATGTCATTGATACTGATAATTTTTAAGTTATTCACTGTCTTACTTAATTTGTCTATAAATGAATGACATTGGAAGATATAACTCTTTGTGATATGGCTGTTTGCCAGCATTTTTAGATGCAAATAATTTACATCCAAGTTTCTGTCAGTCACATGGTGATTAATCAATATGAAATGTATCCTGTTTGATAGGTCCAATATATCTTGAAAAAGTACATAATTGGTGGTGCACTTATTGGATTAAAAAAGGCTTTATTGAAGAATGTGTTAGATTAGCTAGTTAGGGCAATGAAAATTAAATCTGTGCCCTAGTCAAGCTGCTGTTGAAATTGAACTTAAAGTGTTAACTATCTCTAGTAATAATTTATAACTGTTACTTTTTAAACTATCTCTAGTCATTAGTTTTTGATTTTGATGTTAACTAATTTTTATTAAGTTTATTAAATTGATCATATCTAATGAATAGTTTATTATTTACCCGTCTGATGTTCTGTTTTCATTTATCTTGTTAGTTTATATGATTTAGTTGTCAATCGAATGATTTGTTAGTAATTATGTTAAATCATTTACTAACTACTGTTCATGCTCTGTGGTCCTTAATGTAAGTTGGACTTCTTTACTATTCTTCTCAACTCAAACTCATTCTTTGCAGTTTTTCTCACTATACTCAGAACCTAAAATCTCCCTCGCCATCCTCTAACTACCGAAGTGTAGTAGTTTGATGCATCATATGTTCCACACAATGTGAATTAAACGATTGTGGTTTAATAATGGTTAAGTCTGTCTTTAATTTTCAATATTCTTTATATTTGTGTCTTTAATTAATATAAATTAGATAAGTGTTAAGTTTCTTTATTTTGTAGTTATTTATCAATTAAGGGCAGAAAATTTTCAACTATCAGTTCTTTTTTTTTTTTTTTAATATTGTGAACTAGTTGCCTTGATAAAACCATTTTTTAATCTAGCTAAGATTTTTAAGGATTTATCTTAAAAAATTGTTAAGCTTACTTTTTTCTCTTATATACTTTGTATTTATTGTTATACTTTTGTGTGTTAAAGTTATAAGTTAATGTTTTAAGCAATCTGTCCTGTACTTCTGCATATTTTTAGGGAGTCTTAAACAGGCTATTTGATTTAAACAACTATTTCAAACGTCCTCAGATTTTCTCACCTGGTTAAAAAACAACCATTTTATTGATAAAACTCTTTTCTAAAAACAGGGCCAGGGAAGTTTATTTGTGGTTACAAGGATATTTTTTGTTGGTTGTCTGTTTTTCTTTATCAAAAAAAGACTTGATGGTTGTATGTTAGATTTCATTTCAGTGTTAACTATTATAAATGTATCAAGTTAAATAACATTCCACATTCTCTCTTTTAATATATTTTATTTAAATCTTAAAATTTAAGCACAGCATTTAATTATATCATTAACAATTCATAATATAACATAATTTTGAAATTATCATGCAAACTAATATCATTTTCTACCATTGACGCAGACTTTACATTCTGCTTGGGGTGGTGGAGGGGGAGAGCAATGGACCTCCTATCAAAATTGTCTTGGGATTTTATATGGTTTATAAAAATTATGTGAAATAATTAACATAATTTTTGTTAAACGAACAATATAATACTATAAGAAAAGCAATAGGAATATGTTACATATTTCTTATATATTTTCTTTAAAGGTTTGAGGCAGTGAGATGAACTCTCAATTCTCTGATGTTTCAATTTCTCCACAGGAAATTTGATAACACCATCACATAAAAATGGAAGGGTGCACATTAATGAATCACAAAATCCTAGAATATGTTGCTACATATAATTATCTTTAAATATAAACTAAAATTTAAATAATAGGAACATAGGGCATGGTTAAATTACTTGCATGCCTAAGCTAGTCCTTAGATTAGCCATCTAGTCGACTTTTTCTATTTCCTTAATTGTTTTTAGTTTACATATTTTATTCATTCGTATAGATTAATTGTTATTGATTTTCAATTTTTTTTTGTTTCTCAAAATAATGGGAGGTTACGAAACTATATTCTCGCCCCCTCTCAATTTTTATTTAGGGGACAATCGCCCTCTACCCCACCCCCCACGTTTGTGCCTATGTCTTGTACCTTTAGCCTTTTTCTGGTTCTATATTTAAAATTGTTTTTAGATTAAAACTATTAAGGTTATAAGACGCTACAGTTGTATAATTAAATTTTAAACTCATCTTTTTTTTAATCAAATAAAAAAAATTATTTTACTGATAGAATATTTTATGGAACTGGGAAACCTCTTCGCTGGACCTCCCATCTGACTAAGTTTTAATTATTTGTTGTAAGATAATGGTTTTGTGTATCTAATTTTTAAAAATAAAAATGTTTGTGCTTCTTATGTTTCTATTTATTTTGTTTAATAATTCATCTTTACTTGTATTAAAAACTGACATTTTGTTAGTATGCTTATTCTGGATTGCAATTATCGTCTGTATAAATATTTAACCTGTCAAGATATTAAGACATTGAGAACTAGTGTTGCCCAAATGTGAGACTGAAACGAGTCTTGGTTTTGCAAACTCAGTCCTGGTCTAGATCTTGCTCTTGCACAAGAGTCTTGCAGTTATCTATTAGCTTATTAATATAGAGATATCACTGTAATTTTTTAGTTAAGAGAAACCTAACTAAGCTCGAATGAAAAATTGAAAGAGTTAAATGCTAAAGTATGTAGGTTATACCAATTTTTTACACACAGTAACTAAAATTGTCAAGTATTAGTTACTATTTTCCCTTAATTTTTATTTAAAAAAGCGTTATTTTAACCAGTCTTGGTCTTGGTCTTGCAAAGTGCAAGACCTAGACATATTTTGGGTAACACTACTGAGAATTGAGGTGGAGAAATTTTCTAGGGATTTATAAGATGAATAGAAGTAGTAAGTTATTAGTAGAATAAAGTTACAATCCTTATTGAAAATATTTCTTTTTTAATATTGAAGACATATCTAATCTTATCTATACATTTTCTTTCATTATTTTTTATTATTACTTGTATCATTGACAATTCAACAACTATTGTTTTTGTTTTTTTATTCTATTTTCATTTACTGTATTAATTATTTATATACAAGCTTATTTTAATTTATATTTGTATACCTGTAAAACCACATATGCAGTAATGTCATATCCAAATTGCATGGTTTTATTTTTTCAAAAACTTTTTTTCCCAAAACTTTTCAGAGCAACTGTTAAAATAATCGTTTTTAAAACAGTTTTATAAAAGTTTCACCCCCCGTTAAAAACAGGGGCATCCTACCCATGGTCCTTATGTCACCATTTGGTATGCTGAGATTTGGAATCGGAATACAGCCGAATACTAGGTTTTAAATTTTTTGTTTTTTATTTCGTTACTTAAGATAACATTTTCAAATTATCATTCAAGGATCCAAGGATGAATGGATATTTTGACTTCACGTGTTTGATATAGGTCACTAAAGTACTAGCCATGTATTTACAACATACATTTGACGGTATAAATAATATAATAATTCAGGGTAATCTTTTATTTTATTATGCTTTTAATTTAATGTATGTTTATACAGTCAAAGTTCCTGCTACCCATAATTCCGTTATTCGCGGTTCCAAAACATATGTATGTATTGTATTTTAAAAATAATTTTCTCCCGTTTCAAAACAAATAAGTATGAAAGTATTTTAAAACCAAGTATTTTTAGTCGTTTGGTCGTAAGTTCTTTAAAAAAACACTGTCGGGTTGCGTAATGACAAACCCTGTACTGATTCTAACACCTCTCTGAACTGGTATAGGGTTATAGTCTAGGCGGCACTAGCGGATCCAGGATTTAATTTTGGGTGGGGGGGCTTCAGTCCGAAAGCTTTTTTTTTCATAAAAATAACAATAATTACTTTAGAAAAACAGAAAGAAACTAACTAACTATATGAAATGGTGTTTAAGTGATTCCTTAAGTCCTTTTAAATGTAAATACACGAACGATAATACTTTAAGAGCTATTTTTTAAAGTTTGTTTTCCATAAAACAATGTTATATTTTGGGGGGACTTCAGCCCGAAAGCCCCTCCCCCCCGTAGATCCGCCCGTGCAAGGCGGTGACTGCGATTGAGTATGCGAAAATCTGCACCGCGGTTTCTCTTCAGATTCTTGTCAGCAATGTCCTACTGAATAGAAAACTGGATGTTGCCACCTCCGAAAGCGGTAGGTTTAGGCTGAAGGGATGATCGGAAGCTTCGGGGCAACGCTTCCGGTCACGGGCGGATCTACGGGGGGGGGCTTTCGGGCTGAAGCCCCCCCCAAAAATGGAAAAATATAACCATGTTTTATGGGGAAAAAAATTTAAAAAATACCTCTTAAAGTATTATTGTTCGTGTAATTACATTTAAAAGTACTTAAGGGATAACTTAAACACCATTTCATATAGGTAGTTAGTTTCTTTCTGTGTTTCCAAAGTAATTATCGTTATTTTTATGAAAAAAAAAGGTTTCGGGCTGAAGCCCCCCCCCAAAATTAAATCCTGGATCCGCTAGTGCTTCCGGTTACCCTAACCCCTATAATCAACCACAGTAGACTCGAATTTGGTCTCAAATTGTTCCTGTAGTAATGCTGAGGAATTTTTGTTATTTCATATTTTATAGTATTAACTAACTGC